TTGTGGGAAAGTACTGGAGTATTTCTCATAGGATCTAAGGTCAACCCCACCCACAAAATCCCGACAAAAATAACTGATCGGCCGCACGTCAATAGTCGGTCGTGCATTAGAGTGGCACTGGAAAGTGCGAAGCTGAAGCCGTGCAGAAGATTTCAGTCAAGTCTTCCAAAAGTTGTTCCGCACGGAAAAATCACTGCATAATCTCTTAAAATGACTCAGATTGACATCAAGATCTAACGTTCATAAGATCCTCTTATCCCGAACTGACTCACAGAAAAATCTTCGCTCAAATAGAAACATCCCTTCGAGTGAAGAAATTAATTGATAAAAATCACAAGTTACTCGTAGCATTGAACGCATAAAATTGATTCGACAAAAATTTAGCATTTCAGATATCATTACGATATTATCTTCTTTGCATGTGAATTTAATCTTGGCGAAATAAACTTCTGTACTCATTCACCTTAGAGATCTCATAAGCTCCGATCCTCTCAAGGAATAAAAAATATTTTGAGGAGATATTCCTTACAAGAAATTGTTGCTCCTTTTGGCCATTAAAACAGATTTTCTGTCAAATTATTACGAAGTAAATAAAACTGTATCTAGGATTGCACCTGCGCATTTGATCTTCAGTTTCACGGGACTGAAAAAATTCAGTTACATTTTAGACTCACGGCCTTCAGATTGAAATCAGATACATTTCTTAAAAGATGATACACTGCATAAGATGCGACGGATCTCAACGCCTCACATTTACGTTGAATCAAACTCAATGAAGGTTAAAACGAAAAGACACGAGTGAATCAGCCGTCGGGACAATAAGTGCGAAAACAACAATAATAAAAATGCTTAAAATAATAACATGATACTCGCTCTCATCGATCGAGAAATAAGAGACTTACCGTCAATCTTGATCCTGCCAACGTTGGGGAGGTCATCGCCGAGCCCGGCCAACTCATCTTGCTCGCGGGCAAGGAACTCAGCGGCAGGGTCAGTTTCCACTGCGTCTCCGTTCACTAACACTCCGGACATGACTGACGGCGCGTTCGCAACGACGCTGAGATTAACGATTAATAATTCCCTCAACAAGTCACGGTGGGGGCTGGATTTCCTCCTCGCTTCTCTTCTTTTTTTGGTTTTGTTTTATATTTTATATTCTTCAAACTTCAGTCAACATAGAAGCGGGGGAGAAACCTGTTGAAAACGGAGACAAATAATCACATTATCTCGACGTCGACTATCGCAACTCGCGATCACGATCACGACCACGTGAAATGAGAGCCTGCCTGTCTTCAATTCGACATCGCCACTTCCTGAGGAGGCCCAGGACAGCAGTGATCTATCTGACAATTCTTTTACCTTTGAATCGAAAACTGTTGAAGTTTTCACGTGGTTCTAACGTGTGCGAATTGGAGCCAGTTTCAGAAAATAGATCTGGGTGAAATTCATTCAAGCAAGGAAAAATTTGCACCGAAAATCACTTCCGGTATGTTTCTATGACCTTAATTCACCAATTGGTCTTGCGGTAGAGGTAGTAATGCATGGTGACTGCTCAAGTGACGTAAAGGGCAGGAAAAAATTTAAAAAGCGAATCTTTGCCAATTGATATACTGCACTATTCAAGATCAAATCAAAAAAGTACGTACAGTACAACCTGTCCAAGAAAAAATTCAATGGGAATAACGAAAAAATAAAATTTGACTAGGGGAGGTTTCATGTTAAGGAAACGAGCATTTTTGTTGGGCGAAAAGCAAAAAAGAATTACAGGAAATTTTTATCGGTGATATTGTGTGCATTAAATTGCTTCTTAAATGGATAACAAGATGCTGAAAACAAGGGTTCGTTGCCCAATCAGTCTTTCATTTCCTTTCAAAATACATCAAGCTACTTTTTTATTGCTTTTATCTGTCCTGTGTCAATAAAAAATGTAATTACAGTATCAAATGGCCTGTAGAAAATTCGAGATACTTAAGTGGAGGCTTAAGAAAAAAAGCCTTTGAGTTAAAGAGGTTTTTAATGCTTTGTTTCTAAGGGAATTCAGACAGACTTGAGAAATATTCGACATGAGGACGTTCGAGTAATTGAGTTTGAACTGTATAGGAAATAATTACTTCAAATTACTGCAAATCAGCGAGCAAAGCTGTAGCACGACTTCCACAGAAAATTGAAAAAAAAGACACGCATGAGAAAAGCCAGGGGAAAAGCATCAGATCACGTCCCGGGGGCGGAAACTGAAATGCTTCCAACCACTGATAAGCACCAGCGCACTTGTAACACGCTCGACCGCGGGAAGCGTCACACGGCATCACTTCATCCTCACCTTCCGCAAAACATGAGCTGAAAACTCGAGCGAACAGAAAATTCAACTCGTGTATCAAGACATTCTAAGCACATTTTTCTTGTCACAT